GCGTCGAGAGCAGATAAAAACGCGTTGCAATAAAACGACGAATAAAAACATAGGGCGAATGGACTCCAATGGAAATTGTTAAGCAAACAAGGTAAACATGAGGAGTTATACACAAGAATGGGTCATGAATACCGAAAATGATTCGTTTTATCCCTTATATGAGCGACAAATTCCCACGAGTTGCATGTGCCAGTAAAAGTGAGGAGAAAATGATCGGCCACGAGGACACAACTTGATGATGACTTGCTATTCAGCGTTGTTAAAAGTTTTTAACGGGAGCCACTAAAACTTGGAGGTAGAAAATTCCAAACCAACTTAAAAATGCGCGGTGCTGTTTGCTTTTTCATGTTATTATACCATTTAATTCCCCTTTTACATATTCATCACTCGATTTTCTGTGTCCGACTTGTTTTTCTTTCTAGCCGTTCGTGGTGGTCTACTGTTTTTGGGCGCAGCAGTTTGCATGCAAATTGTACCACTGCAGCCCATTTTGAGATTGCCGATGAGCATTCCGCAATATCGCTCTGATTTTTCTCACGCAGATCTTACCAGTAGAGTAAAATGATGGCCAGGACACCTTAGTTCCTGAATATATGCACTTCAACCAGCGAATTAATCAATAAGTTTTTGTGCACTTCATTTTCCTTCACGGCTAAGCTCAGTTGTTTTTTGACTTATATTCATAAGAATGCCATCAAATTAGATACAAGTGTTAATTTTACGAAAGAATGTTTAGTTCTCTCCGGTCTGCAGATTGCTGTATCTGAGTATTCTGGTTCTTCGAACCTTGCTCCAATCGTAGTTGACGCAACGCTTAACGCTGTGAACTCTCCGCCCACGTAGGCCTTGTCCCAGAAATGGCGTCGGGAGGAGCTGAGGGCGCCCAGAGTGTCCCGTATGATGTCTCCGCTCTCTCTGAAGCTAAAAGACGTGATTTAAACCACTTTAAGGCATGTTCAAAGTTTTTTAAAACTTTCGTAGGATATATCAGGCATTTCAGACGATGAATACGCCGCGCACATTCTAGAAGATAGCGATTGGAACTTAGAAGTAAGGTTATTCCTCACACTCCTACTTTTAGCATGCTGTTCACAAATTCATGGGACTTGGTGATGCCGGAAACTCAACCGGTGCTGTACGACGTCGACCTCAAAACCAACCTGAGAATCCAGCTCCAGTTAGCTTTTACACACGCCGATAACACTGATTTAGATTGATCTGGCACCGCCAAACCTCCTCGTCTTTCGGCGCGATAGGCCAACTGATGGATGGCTTCAAACGTTCCTAAACATATTGCTCAGTCCGTTTTATTTTACGTACCATGTGCTTGGCAGTATCATCAGTACATTCAGTAAGTCTAGCCACCAACTTTTGCCCTTTAATTATTCCATATGCAATCATTTGATGTACCTTGTAGTCCATGTTTGAAGCAGGGTAGTTCAGATTTCCTCAGCAGCAAATGACTTAAGTCATTGCGTTTGATGCACCCTAGGTAGCCACTCATGCTGGTCCTTCAGATCCATTCCGTTTGCCAGTAACATGTGTTCAACCCCAACAGAGCATGTGAATTAACAGTGAAGTTCATAATGTCAGCATTAATATATAAACTCGCTCACTACAGGGATTTCGATTGTTAATACAATCAAGTAGCCATTCTCTTTTTAGAATCTTGGCTTTGCGGAGAGGCATATAGCCAAATAGTTAAGTCTACTGTTCCATCACGGTCATCTGAATGTTTGTAAACGCTTTTTTTTCTATTTTAGCCTCCTTTTTGTGGCCGGATCCACGAACACGTAAGATCTGCTTTGCACACTCACTTTACCGCCCCTCACTGTTAATATTTTGTGTTAATTCTCTTTAATTTTCCTTTTTATACAATATCCTATCACGCGCCTGCTGGTCTGGTTGGCGCATGTTTTTATAAAAAGTTGATCCTGATCGTCCAGACCTTTCTACATGTATTTGTACCGTCTCCTTTAAAACACCATTTTAATGCAAAATCGGAAATGATTTAAAACGCACTCCAGGCAAATATAGACCGAACTGTTAATTTGTGTTGACCCGTCTACTCCAAAAAGGTGAGCACCTTATGAGAGCTAAGACGGGCTATGCCAAGCATAATAAAGAGCTGTTCGTTTTGTTCGCAGTATTATAACCATAAGACACATCACCGTACAGCTGAGATGCTGCTTACTTTTGTGCTCCTCCAATTGTACTTATATATCTTACTGCTGGATTTCTTTTAGCTGCTTTGTTTTTTTAATCTCCGATTATTGCAGCCTACTATATATTTGACTTAACACGGCAGTATGCAGCGTATGTTTAAAGATCTGTGTTTACCTTTCCGATCTGCCAGTTTAACTTCCGTAATCAACTGTTCCATTTATGGACATTTATTGCCTTTCTGACTTTCAGTGGTCACGGATCCTTTGGGCGATGTTCGTCACTTTATTGACACCTTTAAGCAGACATACGCTCCCGTCAGCGAAGATTCAATATCCACTGATACCATCGAAAGAAACAACACTCCACCGTTCTTCGAGGGAACTTATGCACAGGCACTTCAGGAGGCCAAAAGGAGTTTGCGATTTTTGATTGTTTATTTGCACTGCAGTTCTCACGAGGATACTGAAGAGTTTTGTAGGTAAGTTGATTCCTATATTTACCATACCGGGTAGACAGGCAGTCTTCCCTGAAAATCATAAAAGTGGACTATTGTTTCCCAGGTTGCTCAGGTGGTAACCGCAGGTTGTTAAGTTTTTCTATCCTCAAGTACTTTAACGCTAGTCCAATGTTAATGAACAATTACATGCACAAAGCAGTATGTACATACTCATGCATGCATGCCTGCGCGATGAATCTAATCTGACCTCGACACCGAACCGTCGTGTCAGCTGGCCAGTGTAAAACACATGTCTTCGGCTCGTCATATAGTAAACTACTAGCGTTAAAGTTAGGTACATTTTAGATCGCTTGAACCGTCCAAACAAGACCGCTATTGATATTGAAAAGGTTCTAACATCTGATTGCCGCCTGCATCGTTTTTTCATACTTCCGCCTGTTCACGTCATTTCTGTTGAAATCGATGATGCTACAGTCGGCGAACAAATCCGTACTTACTAGAAGCTGTTTTATTTCTTTCAGACAAACCCTTCAGAATCCAGTTACTCTCGCTTTTTTGAATAATACCGAACAATCTATCTTCTGGGCCTGTGATATCAATTCCCCCGAGGGATATCGGACATCACAAATATTCCGCGAGCACTCTTACCCCTTTGTTGGTGTAATCGGACTTTCTATTAATCGGGGTAAGTTAATTACCTTCCTACTGTTATGCACTATGGTCTTTGGTTCCAAATTTCTAAGCGCAAACCCACCGAACATCCGAAAACCGGAGAAGCCCTAAGTATTGTGGGTGTTGTTGTCAATGCCA